TAGATTGCATTAGACTTCCAAACGCAGTGCAGAGTGCCTGATCAGTGGAACCAAAAATGATGTCATCAACGTAGATCTGAACCAAGATGATGTCAGACTCATGACGTTTAATGAAGAGAGTAGTATCAATTGTTCCTTTTGAGAAGCCAGAATCAACCAGGAAATCAGATAATTCCTCATACCAAGCTCTCGGGGCTTGTTTGAGTCCATATAAAGCTTTATCCAAACGATAGACGTGATCTGGATATTTCTCACTGATGAAGCCTTCTAGTTGATCAACCTAAACTTCTTCTTTCAAGATCCCATTTAAGAATGTTGTTTTGACGTCCATTTGGTAGATGGTGAAGTTCTTGTGTGCAGAATAAGCCATGAACAGTCAAATGACTTCAATGCGTGCAACTGGAGCGAACGTCTCATTATAGTCGATGCCTTCTTGTTGATTGTAGCCTTTTGCAACGAATCGGGCCTTATTGCGAATCATGATCCCGTCTTCATCTTTTTTGTTCTTAAAGATCCACTTCATGCTTATGATTGATTTCCCAAGGGGCCGAGGCACAAGTGACCACCACACTTTCAGTCTCTCAAACTGATTGATTTCTTTTTGAATGGCGATTATCCAATCAGGATCAGCTAACGCTTCAGTGACATGCGTAGGCTCAGATTGGTTTAGGAAACAGGAAAACAGACATTCATTCTCGATAGCAGATCGTGTGCACACTCCACTAGAAGGATTTCCATGTATGAGATCAGGTGGATGGGCACATGTCCATTTCTAACATGAGGGAGTGGCTGAGCATTATTGTTTGGTTGCTGGTCAACATAAGGAATATCAGCATGAGAAACAGATGAAGATGTAGGATCAGAGGACGGAGGTGTTGTAGTTTCAGTCTCAGCTGTGGTTGCATAAGATGATTGAGTTGAGGCAGAAGTAGGTATTACAGCCGTAGATGCATAAGTAGGTGTAGGAGATGGATCGTGTGGTTGTGGATTCTCATATATTTGGTCAAACAGATGATCGAGATCCACAAAGTTGGAATCAGGTGAGGGAGATGAGGCGGGTAGTTGTGCTAGAACACCAGTGATATTGGGTTCTGAACTGATGTGTCCAGAAGCATGTTCTTCTTTCTCATCAAGGGTCACATTGATGCTTTTAATGACCTTCTTTCTGTATCTGATGTACACTCGGTAAGCTTTAGATGAAGAGGAGTAGCCAGTAAACACTTCTTCAAAAGCTTTCGAATTAAACTTGCTTCGATCTTCCCTGTCATTAGCCACGAAGCACTTGCATCCAAAAACTCTTAGAAAAGAAACACTGGGAATTCGACGGTTGATCAGCTCATACGGTGTCTTTCCAAACCTTTTGTAAATTGAGGTCCTGTTCTGAGTGAAGCAAGCAATGTTGATAGCTTCAGCCCAGAGAGAATGTGGAAGTTTGGAGTGGATCAGCATGGTTCTTGCAGCTTTAACAAGAGTACTGTTCTTTCTTTCAACCACCCCGTTCTGCTATGGGGTCTTTGCTGTAGAGAATTGCTAAATGATGCCTTAAGTCTCATAGAATTCACTGAGTTTCTGGTTCTTGAACTCGGTGCCGTTGTCAGATCGTATGAAGAGTATGATTGCCTGGAGTAGCTTCTGTGTGGTACGGATGAAGGTAATGATGATGTCTGCTGTCTCGTCTTTGGAGCGTAAGAACCGGATCCCTGTATATCTTGAGTAGTAATCTACTATCACCAGGATATATTTCTTCCCATTGATACTTTATGTACGCATGGGCCCACAAAGATCCATGTGAAGCAATTCAAGAGGACGTGTAGTAGATGCAGTCACTTTCACCTTGTGAGAAGCTCTTTTCATTTTTCCAAGTGCGCAAGAATCGCTTAGATGATCACATTTGCTTTGCAGCGCTGGCAGACCAGTAACAAGCTTCTTTGATGATAAAGTATGCAGATCACGGTAGTTCAGATGAGACATCCTCTTATGCCACAGTTGATTTAGTTCAGAGGATGCTCTTGACAGCAAGCAGACATCGGTATTGGGAAGCACTGTTTTCAACACAATGGTGTAAAGACTGGATTTGCATCTACACCTCAGAATGGTGTTTCCTTGATCATCCTTCACACAACACTTCTTAGCTCGGAATATGACTTGCATGCCCCTGTCGCATAATTATCCGATGCTAAACAAGTTGTGCATTAACCCAGCAACATAAGAAACATCTTTTATTGTGACCCTGCTATTGCAGATATCTCCAAATCCAAGGATAGGAGCAGAGTCAGTGTTTCCAAATCTCACTTTTCCACCAAACTTGTCCACGTAGTTGCTCAACAGGTCTTTCTTCCCAGTCATGTGTGTGGAGAAACCTGAATCTAAGTACCACACATGACTGACCTGCAAAATTAAGCAGCCTTAGGTACCCATTTAAGGACGGGTCCATCCTTTTGATGTGAGGAAAGAATATGATGAGAATTGGTCGGTTTATGTTTAGGAACCCAGATTTGTTTTATCTTTTGAAATTTTTCACTTGAATTCTGGAACTGTGATTGAGATTGTTTATGACTTGTGAAAACTTTCTCTCTTGTCAATCTTTTGAGGTGTTTAACAGAATGAACCTTTAAAGGATACTTTAAATAATCACCTCCACAAGAAGAGAAAGTAACATACCCATTTGAACCATTCATATCACACACATCTCGTTTGGAGAAAGGAGATTTTAAATAATCATGCTTAAAAACATCACTTGAATTAGAATCACAACTAGAATGAGAAGAAGAAGCAAACTTATGAGATTCGGTCTGAAACATAACTAGAGGAACTATCAGAAGAACTAGAACGGAAACAATTTCTAACTTTATTACAAGACTTTTCAACAAAATTAAAGATTTTGGAAATCTTCTTTGAATGATCATGTCTTGTTTCATTCTTCACTGCTGTCTTGGGGATCCGAGTCATTCTTCCTGCACCTGATTTAGAAAAAAATTTCCATCATTTTCAGTAGATGTAGCAGCATCGTCTTCTTCTTCTTCTTCAGAGTCATCACTTTCAGAGTCCATCACTTTTTCCATCAGTGCCAAGTTCTCTGGCTCACTTTCGTTAGTGTCCTCTAACCAGCTATCGTGTTCAGCCATTAGGACCACTTCGTGCTCCCTCTGCTTGGCCATTTGAGCCTTTTGCATGTAGTAGTTGAAGTCCTTTTTCTTGGCAGAACGACACTCCTTGGCAAAGTGACCAGGCTTCCCACATTTGAAGCATTTCATTGAATCGCCACTCACAGCTTTATCTGAAGGCCTGCTAGTTTTGTCAGAATAGTTTGACGAAGAAGTTCTTTGTTTGTTGTTGGTTCCGGGGTTTCTGAATCTTGTGAACTTCTTGTTTATCTTTCTTGTCATGGTTGTTAACAAAGCTAGCTCCTTCTTCAGCTCATTGATCTCAGGATCAGAATCAGACAAGTTCTTCTCTTCATCGGATGAATCAACGTCAAAGGAAATTTTGGGAATTTTTTCTTTCTTTTTCTTTTCAGTTGATAGGAGGGCAAGTGTATCAACAATGTTTTTTTCTTTTGAAGAATTGACTTTTTCGCGTATATTCTCAGAGAATTCTCCTAGACAGTCGTAGAGATTGTAGATGGTCAGTGCATCCAGATCTTTATTTTGTCTGATTCGCTTGGCTGTTTTCTTCCATTCGGGTTTGAGAGATCTCAGGAAGCGAAGGTTAACTTCCATGTTGGTTTTTCGAATGTTGATCTTCTTCATCTCGTTCAGAACCGTCAGAAAACGTTGATATGTATCTTCCAGCTCCTCATCAGATCTAGCGGCAAAGGAGTCATATGCAGTCAAAGTGTGAGCTCTTTTGGATTTGATTCCAATATCGGTGCCTTGCATGATCTGATGGATTTCATCCCATAAGTCTTTAGCAGTGGTAAAACTATCAATTTGCATAAACAGATCATTGGCGATGGCTTGGAGCAGATAAGCGGCAACTAAAAGATCAGCTTTGGCACTGAGTTTTTCGGCTTCAGTGTAATCTTCTTCCTTTTTTAGATTTCTTTGAGCAGGTGTGGGAGGGTTATGTGTAGTGTTTTCAGGAACTAAAACCCAGACCTCGATGGGTCCTTCTTCCAGAGATTTGAGAATATTCTTCCCGTTTTCCCTGCTTCTGATGAAGTTCAAGAATCTGACTTTCCATACTGCGGATTCTTCTCTTCTGAGTAGAGGAGGTCTGGAGTCACTTCCAAGAGTATAGGCTTCCATGATTGTTGTTGATCTTAAGGCGAGAACTGTTCAGTTGAAGTAAGATTTCGGTACTGCTTAAAAAAAATTGGATCCTTATTTCGGAAAGAAAGGTTTTCAGGTGTCCGGAATTAGGAACTCGGATGATCAGATATTGGATGTCCGAAATTAGAAATTCGGAAGATGATCTCGGGTCAGCTGACAATTTCGGATGAGGGCCGAATTTAAGATTTCAGGATTAAAACTCGGATGGTCTTCGAATTAAGATTTCGGATGAGCGAAAACTTAAGATGATCCGAGATCTTCACCTGCTAAAAATAGATTTCGGACGTGCGAATAATTAATTGACCAAATCTTACCTGGATACACCTTCCTGATTGTAGAAACCTTCCAAAACAGTATGTTTCCAAGAACAGAACTAGAGATTAATTCAACCAATAATTGTGTTTTTGATCAAATTAATTCCAGAAAAATTCAAGGAATCACACGAAGAGAATTGCACCGAGGCTCTGATACCAATTGTGTGAGATATGCCCAGATTTCAACAACCGGATAGTCTAAGATTAATAGGAAGAATTTAAACAGTAAAAGAGAAATCTCACCAATAACGTATACCATGTATATATAATGATGAATCCATGAAGAACAATTACACAGTACTCGAACGAATAAGCTTGAGAGAGAATTTCTATTCTACTGGCTCTACAGAGAATAATATGCGGAAATAGAATGTGTAGAAACTTAGCAGTTTTCAGCCATCTCAACCTTTTTTTCCCCGGAAATAACCACACGTGGTGGCGGGAGCGCCGGGGAACACTACCCAAATTTATTAAAATTAAGTAGATTACAAGAAAGTTTAAGGAGCGGTACAGATAATAACAAGCATAAAGTCAAAAGCTGATAAGAAACAAGAGTTTAACAGTTGAAGTTTTTTGAAGGTATCCCGACTGTAGACGAAATGGATCTGTTATATCTGTTATGGAACTGAATAGCCTTTCGGAGATATTGTTGATAGGTCTTTGCTTCCGGTTTAGAGGACCTATATCGTGCCAGTGCCGTAGCAAGTTTATGTGGAGAGTCCAGTCTCGCATCAACAGGGTAAATGTAATAGTCGTCTTCATTTTGCGGGCGTCTAGATTGACTTCTTGTGATCATCGGGTGTGATGTGTATCCCACCTCGTAGAATAATTGTTTGGGTTCTGGAGTTGCGTTACGGGTTGTTCCGAAGCAGCCAAAGTCATGTCATTGCCATCAACACCGGTAACCATTTGATGAGTTTCCTCGGTTACCTCCTCGTTACGGTTGGCCATCGGGGTTTTATCTCAACCTATATTTATAGGAGAGATGTTTGAAATGCCTAATACAATTAGGAAGCAGCTTAGGCGTGTGTGTGGGATTATTAGAGTTAGTTTAAATGGACCTAATTCTCTCTCAGCTAAAGTAATTAAATACAAAGACTCATTAAATAAATTACAGATAAATTTGAACACAATAAAATAATATTCTAACACATACTCGTATTGTTCCTATTCCCAAGAAGATCAACCGGAAGTTTTTGATGACTGGAGGCCCATATCCTTATGTAATGTGGTGTATAAATTTTTTCCCAAAGTGCTGGCCAATCCAATGAAGAGTCTTATGCATTTCTGTGTCTCGGAGCAACAAAGTGCCTTCATCCCGGGAAGGTCGATAGTTAATAACATCATGTTGGCGTTCGAGTCTCATCACTATTTAAAGAGGAAGCGGCGGGGCAAGTTGGGATATGTGGCTTTGCTGCTCGATATGAGCAAGGTGTACGATCAGATAGAATGGTCTTTGGAAGGGATGATGCACAAATTGGGTTCTCTTGTAGGTGGGTTTGGATAGTGATGGAATGTGTTAGTACGATTCCTATTGACGATGTTGATGTTGGTCCGATTATGCTTACTAGAGGATTAAGGCAAGGTTATCCCCTATCATCTTACTGGGATACTTATATTTTACACAATCTATTCAATAGTAGAGATTCTAAGATGATTCAAAGTATCCCAGTGAGCCGAAGAGTGGTACCGGACAGTCTGATTTGGAGGTGGGAATTGGGAGGCAGATTTACGATTCGGAGTTGCTACCGAAAAATCATAGTCGAATTTCAGGCACCGGACTGGAAGGGATGGACGGTGATGTGGAATTGGCTTCTACTCCAAAATTAAATCTTTCTTCTGTCAAGCTTGTAGCAATATTCTTCCAACAACATTCAATTTAAGAAGGCGGACTGCCCGGTGAAGTGTGGAGTATGTGGTAGTGGCGATGAATCCTTGCTACACCTGTTTGTTCAGTGTTTGGTGGCCAGAGCATGTTGGAGCTCGGCGGTTGGTCTTGAATGGGTGTGTTGGAGTATTTCGTGTGAAAGGAATCAAAGGATTTGGAATGGGAATGGGAAGAAGATGGAAGCTCTAAGCTGGTTAAAGGACCAGATTTGGAATCGTGGATGTGGAGTCCGATTCATTAATGGCCATATCGAAAATCTGCAAAGGTTCAAGCATCTCTTCTTCATTTGGACTTTGGGCAAAGGATATTAGAGAGTTCAGTTTTATGGTCATTAGTCATTACTTTTTATCGTATTAGGGGATATATGTAACAATAATTTTGCTATAGGTACCCAAAGGTATACCCATTGTACCTCATATAAAAGCTCTCTCCAATTTTCTTCTCTCCTCCTTCCTTCTCTCCTGCGTCTTTTTCTTTTCACGCAGCCCCCATCCCCTCATCCCCTCCCATTTCTTTCTCTTTTCTCTCCAAATCTTAATTTCTTCTCCATTTCAAAATCTCCCCCTTTGTATAAGGCTTCTCATTTTGACCATCTTTCCCCCTCCAACCTTCTTCTTCTGCTTCTCTCCTCTTCTACTTTTTTTTCGTTTCAAATGCAGGAGCTACAGTAATTGGACGAACGGGGGGAGCTCGGTGACGTTGGATAGCTTGACATGGGTAGAGCTCGGTGACGTTGCCGACGGCGGGCCTACGCTGGTTGCCGTTCTGGATGCAAACTCAAGGGAAGACAACGACGAAGGTGCAGATAAAGAAGCTTTGAATGACTTGAGCAGATCTTTTTTTCTTGATTTTTTTTCTTTATTTTTTGGTGTGTTTTCGAAATAAAAAGGGTTGTCTGTCTGACAGGCAACTTGTAAGTGCAGTGTCTGTATTTGTTAGGAAGACTCGTGAAGTTGTTTGTCATTTGCTTGTTAGTTGTTTGTATTTTTTTGAGTTGCATGTATTTGTTTTGAGTTGTTTGTAATGACTTTTTGGTCATGTTGTTGTGAGGAGTCTGTAAGAGTCGTGAAGTTGTCTGTCATTTTAAAAATACATGTTTGTAACTCATATTTAATTGTTTGTCATTTGATTGTGAGTTGTATGTAATTTGTGGTGTGTATTTTTTTAGATGTACAAACAACTTGTAAGTGCAATGTCTGTATACTCAAACATGGTTTCATAGTTGGTGAAACCTTGAACTAAAATGTCTGTCGCACAGACAACTCATTTGTTTGTCTACATAGAAACATTGTCTGTATACACATGCAAGTATTGGTACAACTGTATTTTATAGTGCATTTTGATGAGTTCAGTAATTATTAATGTAGTCATATAAAAGTGTTGGGACATATGGTTGTATTTGTTAATGTATAGATGAATTTGGTGAATACAAAACATGTATACGATTGTCTGTGTGGACAGACAATACATATATGATATATCTAGATAGACAATAGAGATAACTAGACATACATTATTTTTACGCAGAGAGACAATAACTTTACACAAACAGACAATACGGTAGATACCTAGACAGAGAAAAGATCAGCATACATATTGTACATGTAATGTTTGCAAAAACTTACACATGTTCAAAAAAAACCAATCCAATTGTTAAACATTGTACAATATTCGACACATTTACCCAACTGTAATATGTAATGTTTGTAAAAAAGTACATATTCAAAAAATCACAAGTTCAAAATCAACACATTTCTCCAACACTCTATGCTTCAACCTTCTTCAAGTGATTAATGTTTTGTGATTCATAACGGTTTATATTAAATGTGTTAAGTATGTAATATGAAAATTTATAAATTGTGTGGATTTTTGGAGAATGACTAAACTTTAATTTCCCATTAAACAATTGGAAAAAGTGATGATAAAAAAGAAATGGAAAAAGTGGCATTGTTTGATATTAGTATGACATTGTATTGTCACATTTTAAAAGGGAATCGTACAAAACGGGTTTAGATCTAAGACCGAACCAAACCGAACTATTTGAATAGTTACAATACATGTACGAGATCGACAAAATATTGGACTGTCCCGAACCGTGCCCACCCCTAGAAATTTTTGAAAAATTCCGGCGATCGGAGGCCGGCAGTGGAGGTAGTGGTAGGCAGCAGGCGGTAGGGGGCTAGGGGCACTACAGAGTTATAATTATTTAAACACACATAATTACTCTTATTTAGATAATTTAAATATTACCTTCATCCCATAATGTAAGATGCACTTGGCTTTAGTGCAGATTTTAAGAAAAGAGAAATGGGTCAAATAAGTCTTTCTACTATTTCCAATCCATCGCTTAAGTCTTATACTCCGTACTAAAAAAAGTACTATGGATCATATAATTACACTTACGTTAAAAAATTAATCAATTTAGCCATTTATTTAGTTTTTGAATCATAGTAGCAAGTTTTTTAATCTTATAAGTATCATATGAGTACACTTACTTTAAAAAATTGATCAATTTGGCCATTTATTTAGTTTTTGAACCGTGATAATATAGCAAGTTGTTTATCTTAAAAAACTCCAAAGATTTGTTAAAATTTGAAAAAATATAGATAAAAATTGTGAAAATTTTCGAAATGTAAAAGTCCATATTTTTAAATTTTTAAAATTATATATCATACATCTATTTAAGAGGTTTTTAAAATTTAAATTTTATATTTTTTACATTTTAATATTATTTTTTTAGTTTTCCAATTTTTTTACGTTTTTACTTTAACCTTTTTAAATTTTTTCTTCTATTTTTACATTTACGCTACTACCTCCGTCTCAAAAAACTTTATCATTTCAAAAAAATTGAACCCCTATTTTGATTAATATAATATAATGAAAGTTATAAATATTATACTTTTATGGAAGTAGTTTTAACAAAGAACATTTTCATATAATATTTATATTATAAATAATTTCCAAAAAAAATATATAGTTGGTCAAAGTTTTGAAAATGGCAAAAATATTTGGGATCAAAGTAGTATATTTATATTATTATTATATTATTTTTCAAATTTATAAGAACTCTAATAAGATTTATCAATACTTCTAATTTATTGTTTAAAAAATAACCTGCTACAACAATTTAAAATGACTTGATTGATTATATTTAAAATGTAGACCTTATGTAATTGATTGGAAATAGTAGAAGGTCTTATTTCACTTTAGCTTAATAAAATAAAGGATAACATGGTTGTTTTATAATTCCAATCTTCAAAAAGTAAGAAAGAGTAAAATGAATCTACAAAAAATAGAGTGAAATGATAGACAAGAAGATGACATTGAAAAGTAAAAATTGATCATTTTTTTAGACAACCAAAAAAGAAAAGTATATCTTACAAAATGGAACGAGTGGAGTAGTAATTACCCTAAATCAAACTAAATGTAAATATAATTACCCAAATATGACTAAAACCTAAATCTTTTACAAATAAGACTAAACATTAAGGACCTGTTTACTAACAGAGATATTTTCAAGTTTTTCAGAAAACTGAAAAACTAGAAAACAGAAAACAGGAAACGTGTTTACCAAAGAAAATTGCTGAGAAACTGGAGAAAGGAAAACAGAAAAACGCGTTTACCCAACCGTTTTCCAAAACCAAAAAAATGAGACATGTCTCTCTTTTCCTTAATGATTTGGAGAAGTGACTTTTACTAGTTTTCCAAATTTGGAAAACGCATGTGCTACAGGCCGCTGCAATGAATTTGCATACTTACACCTAGTGGTGGGTCCGGTTCCGCTCCGATGTCGATTCCATTCTAGTACCTCCATCTTCGTACCTTACCTCTTACCCCTACCCTACCCTACCCACCCAACCCCCATATGACACTCCAAAAAAAAAGAAGATAAAATTAAATAATAATAAAAAATCAGTCAGATAAAATGTTACGGAAATGACATTTTAATTATTAAGTGAGTCAAACAAAAATTTAATAGTTGTGACATTCTAACCAGATAAAAATTTCCAAGTTTACAACATTTTAGTCAGATGAAATGATCCTATAATAAAAGTAATGTTATACACACGGTAAAAGTTATTTTAACTATTTTAAATTTTTGTATAAAAAACAACTCGACCTTCTAAAAACTATTATACTCTTAATACTAAATAAACCTACGTACGTACTAGGTAGTACAAAGTACTACGTAATAATAACTAACTAAATATATTAAAAAAATCCCTACGTACTAACATATCATGGATAACTAACGTAATACGGAGTATGTACTTGGATAACTACGAAAGCCTAAAGCAATACAAACACATGTAGTATGAACCGGAACTGTTTATCAGCTAAATTCAAAGTATTAGAGAAGGTTGAACTCCTTCGGTATATTATTTTGGCCGGCAAAAACGAACCGCAAACTACAAAGATAAGTATGAAGCTAGTTAAATTCAACTCAAACTCTAACATCTCAGCCTAAAACCCTCGACCTACACCTATAAATAATAGGTCAGAACCTGCGTTTTCTTCATCAAACCTGCGACACATATATACGTATATATAGATATATACTCTGTTTTTTTACCCTTCGTTATAACCCAAAACCGAAGCCAAAACTCACATAGAAACCTTCCCCTTCGTGAGACGAATCCAACAGAAAAAGAATCGTTGAAAACGGTCGTGAAACGAGGGAGAAAAGCTTCGCCGGAGTTCGCCGGGCAAACTCCCACGGCGGAGAAACGAGGAAGAAGGGGGATACCGCCGCCGCCGCCAGTCCGTTGCTGACCGTCGCCGTCCCAAAAGGAGCCAATAGCACTGTCGTTTCGCTCGTCCGACGAGGTAACACCTTCCCCCCTGAGAATTTGCCGTTCCCGGCGCTTTGGCGAGGAAGACGACCCAGCCATTAGGCTGTGGTCTGACTGGTTCTTGGGCTGTTTCCTTTGGGCCAGCTAATTAAAGGAATTTGGGTCAGTCCGTCCCAATTTCAAGAAAAATTAAAAAACAAATAGTAAATAAAACAAATAAAATCTGGAAAAATATAAATTAAATACTTAGTATAAATATACGTATTCGGGACAACCAGAATTTAAAGATAATATTTTTAGCTATTTTTAATTGATTTAATTGTAATTGGGCCAATTTATACACATTTAGTAAAAAATTAACTAAATGACGAAAATAACTATGAAATAAATATTGGAGAAAACTAGGATAAATATATGACTAACTAAAACCTTATGGACCATTTATAGTTAATAAAAATTAAGATTTTGTATATTTAAATGTAATTGACCCGGTTAATAGATATATGAAATTAAATGAATAAGTAAGGAAAATAATTATAAATAGATATCTGGACAACCTAGATCAAATATAGACTCAAAATATAGTTATGGACGATTTTTAATTTATAAATCCGATTCTTAGGCTATTTAATTTAATTAGGCCATATAAAACTAGTTAAGTAACTAAATAAGGAAACTTGAATATTAATGATGAAATTGGATTGATTAATTGATAGTAACCACTTGGATAAATTTGTTAATTACCATAACTACATAATGCTAAATGATAAAATGAATTGTTAGTATAATAATTAGTTATTTTGATTTAGTACCATAAATAGATTAAATAAAATTGGATGAATATTTTTTTCACTTATTATTGGATTAATTGAAGTCGGTTAATAAAATTAACATAATTACAGACTCGTAAATATTAAGTGTTTGAGTAATTAATAAAATCAGACTACGTTAATGACAATTAGTTAATAGTTGTTATAATATTTGGCTTTAATAATGCTAATAATGTTGATTAATGTAAATTAAAGTAAGTAAAGTAATTATGAAATTTGAATAGTTTAACATAATTCGGATATGCTGATAATTCGCATATTTAAATATAATTGTTTGGACATTTTATAAGTAGAGTCTAATTAATGGCCAAATTAGTTAAGTAATCTAATTAATAAAATTAATGGATAAAATAGACTCGAATAAATTAATTAATTTTATTAATAAATTCAATTAATAAACCTAAAAGAGGAAAAACGGATAAAATTATTAAAAGTAGAGTAAGTGACTAATTATATTATCTTAATTAAAAGGGTGATAATTTAGAGACCAGAATTGAAGAAGAGAATTAGGAGCATCAGGACCTACTGTAAGTTTCTTTGCCAATCCAAATTTTGTTTCCTCGTATTATATGCTTATTATGCATTATGTGATTAAGTGTGAATTTTGAATTATGTGTATGTGATTTTGAGGAGATATTATATATATGGTAGTTGAGAAATATAAATTAAGTACTTTTTGGGGTATTAAATATTTTAAATACCTTCGAGAC